GGACAGCCTCAAGCACTGCCCCCCACCCAGCAGGGTCACAGATCTGAGTCCCGGACTGCAGACAGCCTCCCGCGGTGCCCCCCGCCTGGCAGGGTCACAGATCTGGGTCCTGGGACCTTGGACAGCCTCAAGCACTGCCGCCCCACTCGCGAGGACATGGATCCAGGTCCCAGACTGCGGACAGCCTCAAGCACTGCCCCCCTCCTGGCAGGGTCACAGATCCGGGTCCCAGGACCGCGGACAGCCTCAAGCACTGCCCCCGCCTGGCAGGGTCACAGATCTGGGTCCTGGGACCTTGGACAGCCTCAAGCACTGCCGCCCCACTCGCGAGGACATGGATCCAGGTCCCAGACTGCGGACAGCCTCAAGCACTGCTGCCCGCCTGGCAGGGTCACAGATCCGGGTCCCAGACCGCAGACAGCCTTGCCTGCTGCCGCCTGCCTTCAGTATGCAAATTAGCCACCATCTTGTTGCTTCAGGGTGGGGGTCCCCACTGGGGTGCCTGACCAGTCTGGGTGAGGGCTGAGGGCTTTTTTCAGGCTGGTGGGCGAATGAAGTTCCAAACCTCTCCTTTTTTTCTTTTTTTTTTTTATTCTGGCATTTATTTACCTTCTATGGCTGTCACTGGAGCTGAGAGCCGGCTTTCTCTCTGAGGCTCGGCTGCTGAAAGCAGGTTTCTGGCCTTTGTTTACCTTCTGTATTTGAAACAATGTTGCGACTCCAGCTCTGAGATCCCGGCTGACTGAAAGGAGGTTTCTGGGGTTTTGTTTAGCTTCTATATTTGTTACAATGTTTCAAACTGCAAGCTCAGAGGCCGGCAGCGCAGGTGGGGAACGTTGGAGTCCTCCGTCACTGAAGCAAGCAAGCCTCCTGTTAGCTTTACGCTGCCTGACTGCCGGCCGCCATCTTGGCTGGCCGTTAATTTCATATTGCCCTGATTAGCCAATGGGAAGGGTAGCGGAGTGACACCAATTTGCATGTTTCTCTTTTATTAGTGTAGGTATATAAAGAGGTAATATGCAAATTAGCCAGGACACTGTAACAGTCACAACCGGCTCAGGAGGAGGCTGCGCACTCAGGGGGTGCCGCCCCTGGCCCCAGCGGCTGCAGCAGATGCTGGGGTCAGGGGCGGGCCTGGAGTGGAGACACAACACACAGGGGGGCCGCCCCTGCTGGGAGACAGCATGTCAGCAGTCCCACCTCTGCTCATGAGCTGCAGAGGAAACATCTTTTCTTACCTCTCATTGGCTAAGCTCCCTGTATGCCACTCACAGTGTTCTTGGTAAGTTGGGTAATAAGAATCCAAGAAGGTGATCTAGGGTTTTTCCACCTCACTCCTGGAGGAAAAAATGAAGGTCCGCTGCTGGAGGGGCTAAGAAATGTCATATCCTGCCCTAGCCGGTTTTGCTCAGTGGATAGAGCCTTGGCTTGTGAACCACAGGGTCCAGGTTCAATTCTGATCAAGGGCATGTACCTAGGTTGCAGGCTCCTCCCTGGCTGGGGCCTAGGTCAGGGCTCATGCAGGAGGCAACCAATCGAAGTGTCCCTTTCACATTGATGTTTCTCTCTATCTTTCCCTCTCTCTTCCATGCTCTCTAAGAATCAATGGAAAAATATCCTCAGGTGAGGATAAAAAAGAAAGGAAGAAAGGAAGAAAGAAATATCATATCCTATGAAAGGGACATCTTGAAAATGCCTAAAGAAAATTGTCATTTTTTTGTGGTGAAGGGACTGGAGTCTGTGTTTATGAAAACACCTTGGTGGCTGTGGCAGCCGGCAGTGGCAGCAGCAGTGGAGTGATGGGGGTGGTACCTTCCCCTGATCAGCCGGTCGCCTCCCACAGAGAGAGACCAGACTGCAGCCTAAGCTGTCAGTAGGACATCCCCTGAGGGCTCCCAGACTGTGAAAGGGGGCAGGCTGGGCTGAGGGACCCCTCCCCCAGTGCATGAATTTCATGCACCAGGCCTCTAGTAAATTCGCTCCGGGCGACCGCGAATCAAGAGTGGAATTTTAGACAGGATAGTTGGGGAAGGCTTTTCATGGGAGAGGACATTTGGACAGTCATGAATAAAGTGAGTGTACAAGTTATGAAGCTAGCCAGGGAAAGAAAGGGCCAGGCAGAAGACAAAGTAAATGCAAAGGCCCTGGGGCTGATAAGTGGCTGCATGTTTGAGGAATAGAACAAGCTCAGTGTGGCTGGGGGGCAGGGAGTGAGGGAGAATAATAGGAGAAGAGATGAGGGAGGGAGGTTAGGGCTCGATCACATGGAACCTTGTGGGCAAATGGTAAGGACTTTGGGTTTGGTTCTGAGAGCAAATAGAGGGGTTGAGCCAAAGAGTTACAGAGTCTGTACTAATTAGAAAGATTATTTTGGATCTTGGTGGAACAGAATGGAAGAGGAGTGGGTTTGAGGTAGAAGCAGGGAGATCTGGGACAGTAAGTAAAAGGGGAGATGATGGTGGCTCAGAACAGAAAAGGTAGAGAAAATGGTCAGATGCCTGGGTGTTGACACACAACGTTTGCCAAAAGGCTGGATGTGGGTGTGAGAAGTAGAGAGGAGCCAAGGACAGTATCAAGATTTTTGGCCCAAGCAAATGGATGGGTGGAGTTGTCATTAGCTAAGATGACCTGGGTTAGAGAAGAAATAGGTTGGGGTAAGGGTGAGGGTGGCAATCAGCAGTTGAGTTTTGGATGCCTTTTCTATATTCTGGTGGTCAGCTAGCATTGATTATTATATGGTAACTAGAGGCCCGATGCACAAAAATTCATGCAAGAGTAGGCCTTCCTTCCCCTGGCTGCTGGCACCGGCTTCCCTCCAGCACCTGGGACCCAGGCTTCCCTCCTCCAGCTGCCAGCAGGCACCTGGGACCAGGGCTGGCTTCCCTCTGGTCCCAGCTTTGTCAGGAAAGACATCCAGAATGATGTCCAGAAGACGTCGGTCTAATTAGCATATTACCCTTTTATTATCAAGGTTGTTGTTCTTGTTACTGCTGATTGGAGGCATACTGAGGACAGGGAGCTGTGTAAGCACTTTAAATATATTATTTCCTTTATTATTCACAACAGTCCAATGGGGATGGATGCTATAATTCCCTGCTTAATAGGGCAGAAGTTGAGGCTCAGAGAGGGGAAGAGACTGGTAGAGCTTGCACAGCTGATGAGCAGCCATCTTCCCAGACAAAGGGATTGAATCCCTGTCTTCAGTGCCTCCTCAGCTCCTGCCTCCACCCCCAATGGGAATGTCTCCCAACCCATGGATCTCAGGACACCGGAGCTGGAAGGACTGTTGGCTGAGGGAAGGGCCACTGCAGAGTCAGGAAATGTGGGAGAGCTCTAACAAACCAGCAAAGCAGGACAGGCTGGGCCCAGGGCATGGTGATCAGAGAGCACTCACATAACCTGACTGTCCCTGTTGGTGGAACTTGGCATCAAACTCCATGGAGTTTATTGCTTTGCTGAAGAAGTTCTTTATTGATTCTTGTTCGTCAGACATCTCCAGGTTGTAGAGAAAGTCTGTACCTGGGAGTCCTTGGATCAGAGTTGAGAAACCCAAACCCAATTAGACACTTAGATGCCCCAAATTCCCAGACACAACCTTGACTTCTGAGCATGTCCCACATATGGCATTTACTTTTTATTCATCTAGTATTTCTGACCTGCTTGGCACTGGGACAAGTTCTAGCCACAATAATTTAGCAAATGTTTATAGGGGCCTAGTATGTGTCAGAGCCATGCCAAGGGCTGGGGCTGCACCGGTGGAAACAGGCTGAATTCTCTGCCCTCAGGGAGCTGGCAGTCTAGTAGGACCGAGGGAAGAGAGAGGATAAGGCAGTGAATACATGGAGATGCAGGAGTTAGGGGCAGATAAGTCTATAAAGGGGCTGATGTCAAAATCTTTAGCAGCCAATCAAAAATGACATCAACCTTAGCTCTGTAGCCTGGTCCTGGGGTTCCCAGGCTATGCCTGGTGTTAATCTTTAGATTTTGGTTGGTGAGGAGGCTGGAGTCCTGGGGGTGAAGCTGATATGGTTGGGGTGATGTGGGGAGCCACTTGGAGAGGCTCTGAGGCAAAGGCTATTTTCCAAGGAGCATAGAAAGAAATTTCAGTATTTTGACCACTGCACATTCTTATGAATGCTATTTCTGTCTATGGGGGGGGGGAAATAAAGGGTAGAATGAGGAATTGAGAGTACTGGGTGAGTTGCTCATTTTCAGGGAGGTCAAGGAAGGTCTTTCTTGCAAATATGACATCTTAGCAGAGACCTGAAGGAAGGGAGGGAGCCCTGTTGGTAGGGGAAGAGAGTTTTAGGCAGAGGGAACAGCATGTGCAAAGGTTCTGGGATGCGCTTAGTATGTTGAGGAGGCTGCTGTAGTAGGATGGAAGTGAATGAATGTGGGAGAGGTAGACAGGGACCAACCCAGGTAGGGAAGGTTCTTAGATTGGGTCTTAGTAGATAAAGCAGGGCAAGAAGATAGGAAAGAGGGGAATCTTGGGAAAAGATTAAATATAGTAATGTAGTGGTAATCAAAATAACTAATGATTAATGGTGTCAACTGTGTCCCAGGCACTATGCTAATTAGAACTTAACTGGCATTGGCTCCTAGTCTGGCTTCTAGGAGAGACTTATGGGTCTGACAAGGCCAGGCATGACCCAAGGCAGGACAATCTCACCTCCGGGACCCTGGGGAATGGGCAGTTGAGCAGTGGATGAGACAAACAGCCCACAGAAGAAAATAACGAGGCTGGAAACCTTCACCATCTTGGGTCAGGCACCTGTGGGAGAGCAGGACAGAGAGGGTAGGTTGTGGGGTTATTCTCTGAGAAGGTCTCCTCAGAGATTGGGTACAGGGCAGCCATAAAACTCATGTAGACCCATTTTACAGATGGAGCCATTGAAGCTCAGAGAGGAAACATAAGTTTTCTCATAGTATAGAGCAAGAAACGGAGGGTCCAAGAGATGAAGTAACCTGCCCAAGGCCATATTTATGCCCAAGAGAGCTGGACATTCAGCTTTTCCTGCAGGATTACAGCCTTCCCAGTAGAGCTGCTCACTGCTCCTGGGAGAGGCACCATAGTTATGAGAACAGTTTCTGAACCCCCATGGTCTCCAAGTGTGGGATTATGGAATTTAGGACAAGTTGCTTCACCATGTGACACTGTGTGCAGGACATCGTATCCGCATTGTACAAGGAGGTATTGGTGGTGATGTGCACTGGCTTCAGAGACAAACAGGCTTGGGAGAGAAGCCCAGCTCAGACACCTACTTGCTGCGTAACTTGGGCAACACAGACTCTTGGAACCTCAGTGACCTCATCTGGAAAATGTGGGTGATACATACTCATACATTCCTCCCAGCCTCGTCATCAGCACTGAGCACAGCATCTTGTACATTGAAAGTGCTCCATACATGGTTACCATGATGCTGGAGAGGTTTACTATTATGATGATTCTCATTCAGTGATTCAAATGACTTATCTTCCTGAGTTGGTGGGGAAGAGTAGGCTCAGCTTCATGGACATGTCCCTGAGGCTGCGGGACACAGGCTAGACTGCAGTACATGAAGACTGTGGTCTAGTTTGCAGTGCTTTGGGGCTGGGATTGGTCCTCAGGACCTTTACCCTCATCTCACAACCCCCTACCCCCCGCCCCCGATGGGTCAAGGACGTGCATGAACATATTGGTAGGATTTTCTGGGCTTCATCCAAATGACAAGGCAAATGGCCCCTATAGGAATCTGAGACTAACAAATAGATGCGGATAGGGATCAATCCTCTCTTTAGAGGACCTGACAGATTCAGGGGAGACTCTAAGCCCAGGACCTACTCAACAACCCCTTGTAAAGTATGCCTTTTGATTTAGCATTTCAATCACCTGGTGATTAGAGGGTTGGACCTTTCAGTCCCATATCCCCTTCCCAACCCATCCCCTTCCTCTGGGGAGGGGAGACGGCCTGAAGATTGAAATTAATCACCACGGCCAATGATTTAATCAATCATGCCTAAGTAATGAAGCCTCCATAAGAATGCAAGAGGAGGGAGTTCAGAGAGCTTCCAGGTTGGTGCACACATGGAGATTCAGGGAGAGTGGCCACCCAGAGAAAACGTGGAAGGCCTCTGCTCCTTCCCACACACCTTGCCCTGTGCATCTCTTCCATCTGACTGTCCCTGAGTAATATCCTTTTACAATAAACTGGTCATCTAGTTAAGGAAAATGTTTCTTGGAGTTTTGTGAGCTGTTTTAGTGAATTAGTTGAACCCAAGGAGGGGGTCATTGGAACTCTGATTTATAGAAGCACAGGTAACAACCAGGACCTGTGATTGGCATCTGAAGTTGAGGGCAGTCTTGTAGAACTGAGCCCTTAACCTGTGGGGTCTGAGGCTATCTCCAGATAGATAGTGTTGAATTGTAGGACACCCAGATGGTGTCAGAGAATTGCTTGGTGGGGGAAAATTCACACACATTGTAGTTGGTATCAGAATCATTAGGCTCTAAGACATCTAGCAGAAAACAGCAGCTAAAAAGCTGAGCAGAGATTTCAGCTCCTACACTATGTGGTGCTGAAGAAACACTGGTTGAAGTTCAAGCCCCAAGGAGATGAAGCGACCTTGGTAGACACTGGGCTTTTGGTGAAGATCCAGAAGACTATGCTGTAGCAGAGAAGGCCATGCCTTAGAAATAAAGGCTTTCCTCTTCCCTGAGGAATAAGAGCAAGACCAAAATAGTTCCAGCCTAATAAAATATAAATCTAAGCCTCAGCAGGATCAAAGCCATCCACTTATACTCTATTTTTCTGCTATCTTCCTTTCTCTTTGGAACAAGATAACATCATTCAGAGCTTCTACAATTTTTTTTAATTGATTGATTTTTAGAAAGAAAGAGGGAGGGAGGAAGGAAGGGTGGGAGGGAGAGAGAGAGAAGCATCAATTTGTTCCACCCATTTACACATTCATTGGTTGATTCTTATATGTGCCCTGACTGGGGATCAAGCCCACAACCTTGGTGTATCAGGACAATGATCTCAACAACTGAGCTGCCAGCCATGTGGTTCAGTGGTTGAGCGTCAACCTGTAAACAAGGAGGTCATGGTTTGATTCCTGATCAGGGCACATGCCCAGGTTGTGGGCTTGATCTCGAGTGTGTGGCCTCCAAGAGGCAGCCAAACACTGATTCCCGCTCATCGTTGATGTTTCTATATCTCTCTTCCTCTCTGAAATCAGTAAAAAATATATTAAAAAACAAACAAACAAATAACTGAGCTACCTGGCCAGAGCTTCCAGAACCTCTACAAGTTTTCATCATAATGCCTAACATTCAATAAAAAATAACATGGCATCTACACTAATAAAAGAGAAACATGCAAATTGGTGTCACACCGCTACCCTTCCCATTGGCTAATCAGGGCGATATGCAAATTAACTGCCAGCCAAGATGACGGCCGGCAGCCAGGCAGCTTGAAGC